ATTTCTGAAATCAGATTTTTGTAAGTCCTCACGGGCACAGTGGCCTTCTTGGGTTTAGTGTCTTTCGTGTTTTAGACCACAGAGTGGTTCAGCAACTGGAGCGCCCCGCGGTGCTGGCCGGGTCCTGCCTTGGGGATCCATGAGGGCATGGCATGTTTGCAGAGTGAAGACGGGGACCTCTCGAGCCCTCCCGGGAGCCTTCTGTGCAGGGATGTGCTTTGAGGTTTTTTAGGAGAATCCTTTCTTGATGCTCAGGCGTCTGATGTCTGGCGAGCGAATGAGCTGGGAATGCCTGCCACGTTTGCATTTTTTCAGCCCCGGTGGTGACAGATAGTAACAACTCTTTTATTACTGTTCCTGAGTGTAAGCTGGTTCGTAGAAAAGATACTTTGGGAAGAGTTTCAAGTTTGAACTACTTTTAATGAATTCCGACTCTTTAGACAAGCACATCAGGAATGTTAACAGAACTTTAACGGCTAGTAAGACCCAATTTGTATTCATTGTTTGAGCCATTTCCCATCATCCTGTGTCTTCACTAAACTTGTCCTTACACGCGGCGCATCCTGTCTTTATTGTCCCTTGGCAGATGATAGTGCTACTTAAACTGACAGCACATTACTTAATCCTGAGTTAGCGCGCCGTGAGGGCTCTCTCCCCTGGCTCAGCACGCCTCTCCCTCCAGCCGCCCCGTGTGAGCAGCCTTGCTTGCACCTGTCCCGCTGCGGTCACTGAACCCCCTGGACCTCTGGCAGATGACGTGCTGGGGGCTGCGAGCCCCTGAAGAAGTCCGAGTGGACGCCCAGGCCCGGGCGTGGTCTCTGTCCTCAGCACACCTCAGCACAGTGCTGCCGAAGGGTGGCCACAGACAGGCCTGCAGGAAGTGGAGGGGGTCCTGCCGCTTCGTCCAGAAAGTCTGTGTGTGTGTGTGTGTGTGTGTGTGTGTGAGAGAGAGAGAGAGAGAGAGAGAGAGAGCGAGTGAGCGATAGCCAAGTGCTCTGAAAGTCTGGGGCTTAGTGACAGGGTTGGGAGGGGTCCATTGCTGACATGACCACTCCCCCAGGATAGTGAGATTGCAAAGCAGGAAAGGAGATTTCGGTGCCCTGAGCTCTGGCTTTTCCTCCAGTGCACACGCACGTGCCCCACACACCTGCCCGCACACAGGTACCACACATCTGTGGGCACACGCACCTCACACCTGTGCACACATCTCACGTGTCTGTGTACATGCATGTGTACACACCAGGCCCCTCTGATGACCAGGTCCCTGCTAGGCCTCGGACAGGTGGAAATCAAGTTTAGATGTAGTTTGCTCAGCAGGAGCTCATTGACTTGCTGTTTCTTTCTTACCATATAGTTATAATTTTTTGGTGGTCTCTCGTTTTTGATTTGCATATGAAAGCATATGTACTAATGCAGATCGGTGGTGGCATTTTGTAGGCCTCACAAGACCCCCGTTTAGTCAGATACCAGCGTGGACTCCTGGCTCTGCTGCTCTGGGTGAATTGCTTACCCTGTGGCTGCCTGAGCTTTCTCATCTGTATGAGTTACCTGTTCCCGTGTAACGACATCACCACAAAACTAGCACTTCAAACAACACACACTTACTCCTATTTGTTGTCCCGCAGTTTCGGTGGGTCAGGAGTCTGGGCATGTCTTAGGATCTCCCCAAGTGGCAATCAGGTGTGGTCTGGGCTGCAGACGCATCTGAGGCTTGACTGGGGAAGGGCCGCTTCCAGGCCCACGTGGTTGCTGGCAGGATTCGGTTGCTGGTAGGCTGTGGAGCTGTGGCCCGGGTTCCTTGCTGCTTCTCAGCTGCCCTCAGTTCCTGGGCACACGGCCCTTTCCTTATGCAGCTCACAGTGTGGGAGCCTGTGTCCTTGAAGTCAGCAGGGAGAGCGTCTCCCAGCAGGACGGTTGTCGTCCTCTGTGACATAATCTTGCACATCCCATCCCCTGTGCAAAGCAGGGTGCAGGGCTGTTCACACTTAAGGGGAAGGGGCCACACAAGAGCGCGTACACCAGGAGGTGGGGGGAGGCACAGAGCCATCCGGGGTCTGTCCGCCACCTCGTCTGAAAGGGGTAGTAATCATACCTGCCTCCACGTGTAGAGGAGGATGAGCTAGTGAAGGTGGTCAGGACAGTAGCATTGAATCGATGTTAGCAACTACGTGATCACACTAGCGTTGTCATTCCTGGGGTTAGGTTGCCTACTGACGCCCACGTACTGCACTGTGGCATCCAGGGCTGTCCCCAGTGACGCCTTCCTGTCCTCAAGGCACTCCTCCATCTCTCCTTTGCTCTCAGTGGCCTCCGGAATGCAGTGTGTACCACTGTGGAGCCTTTCCACCCACGTGGTGGGGGGCTGACGCTGTCCTTTGTTCCCAGCCCTCCTCAGGCCTGGTTGTCGTGTGGCGACCACAGAGGCCCTTGCTCCCTGCCTTGGGTCACCTGGAGGGTGCCGCAGACAGTGCCCTGCACCATGTGGTTCTCTGTTGTGGTGCCCTGCTCGGGTGCCCAGCCCGGGAGCTTCTTTCAGAGTAGGCTGACCCCATCTCTGGGTGCCCCGCTGCCATGTCTTGAGGGTAGCCCTGTAGAGGGGACAAGGGCCATGCGAAGAATGGCCGAAGGAGTGGCCTGATCCCATCCTGGGTGCTCTTGGGGCCATCGAGCATCGCCTTGTGCAGGGGATGAAGGCCGTGCTGGGAATTGAAGGAGCCACACTCCACCAGGGAGGCATGGGCCAGAGCGGGTACTTTTCACCTCGCTTGGCCCCATTGTCTTACCTGTGGGTCTCCGGTTGGGGGCCTGCCCGAGCTGACGGTGGGGATGCACCTCCGCTATTCAGGCTCCACTGTTCCTGGCCACGTTGTGACTGAGCGTGCATGCACGGGAATTCCCCATCTTCCTGGTTGTCTTTGCTAGAACTTTCCAGTGTGGGGTAGAAACCGGCCAGTGAGCTTCGGGGTCTTATTCGTGAGGAGATGCTTAGCTGACTTTCACGGCTCTGCACTGCTCTGTGGTGAACTGTCACAAGTTTGTCCTGCTGGGCACTGCCCCCGCTTGTCCTCATGCAGCCTGGTCCTGCCCATTCTCTGTCCCTGGTGCGGTCTCGGCGCTGACTGTGCCCTCGCTTGCTCAGCCTGTCCCTACCCTGTCCACGGCGAGGAAAGGGTTGGGACACTGTCCCGGGCTTTCCTTGTGCCCAGGTGGCCGGGCAGGGCCGTGACTGCTGCGTGGCTGCCCGGAGGCGGGGGGGTGGTGGCTAGGGTCTGCGAGAGGGGTCCTCCCCTGCATGGGCCCTGCGTGCCCGTCTGACCACCATGCCACTGCAGTGACGGGTCGAGTGCTGCTTCCAGTGTCACCAGGGAGAGGGCGTCCAGTGTGGCGGCACGGTGTCCGCCACGTCGTGTTTGCACAAGAGAAATGGCAAATGATGCCACGTATTGAGTGGTTTTGGTCTTTTGCTCTTGTTTGAATATTCTTGCTAGTTCTTGCTAGAAAGCGGTTGTAAAATGAGACACAGGTATGAACGTATGTCCATGAACGCACGACTCGTTCAGCAGCAGGTCCTTAGCAGCTGCCCTGTTGGGACAGGCTCTGTGCCCAGGTGCCCCGGCTTATGTGCTGGCTACTTTCTTTGTTGGGAGCAAGCACAGTGGATGGGGGCCTGGATTCTAGGGCTGGTGGTGCCCCTTGTTGCCCGTGGGCCCTGGGTTAAGAGACTTCCCCATCTAGGCCCCAGGGCCCCTGCTGTAGAGCTGTGTTGGTGCTGATTTGGGGATGCAGACCACAAGCTCGGTGATATTTGGGAGTGAGGGCAGTGCAGAAAGGGGTTGACCTCCTCGGGTACAAGCGCAGTTAGCCCTACAGGCTTGACTTCTTTGGAAATGAGGCAATTCACACGCTGTTTGGGCATTTGCTCATTGAGCCTGCCCCGTGTGCCTTCTTAGCATGAGGCCTGGGTCAGCAGTGAGGGTCTTGCAAGGAGAGAGAGGAGGCTAAGCTATTCCTGTGTCCATAGCCTGGGTGATGGAACGGCTGGTGGGAATGTATGTGATGGGAAGATGCCGGAGCAGGTGCTCTTGGGTGATGATAACTGTGCACCGATTAAACAAACCAAGCGCATGGATACAGAGAACAGATGGGTGGCTGGGAGAGGTGGGGGTGGTTGTGGGTGCAATGGGCGGGGGTGTCAATGTAAAGTAAGTCAGGGATGTAATGGACGGTGTGCTAACTGTTTAATAATACTGTGTTGCATGTCTCCAAGTTGCTAAGAGATGTTCAAAGTCCTCATCACGAGAGAAGAAATTTGTAACTGTGACGGGTGTTAATTAGACTTACATATATTACAAAAGATCATTTTGTAATATATACCAATGTTGAGTCACTCTTCAAATATTGTACACCTGAAACTAATATAATGTCATATGTCACTTCTGCCTCATTTAAAACAGTCTGTTTACCATATGAGGGAAATTCAGAGCATCTTTCCATGTACCCCCTCCCCAGACCACAGCCCCCATCCCCCCACCATGCTTCCTTCCTTCTCTCCATTCACCCATCCATCCTTGGGTGCACCTGCCCGCCCGCCTGCCCGGCCCTCTGCTCTCCCATCCCTCCACACGGAGGGAGCACTCACCCAGAGGCCAGATGCTGCTGTACCACCTGACCACGTCCTGGGCAGCCGTGTGCAGTCTCTGCCCGCGGGGCTTGGGGCGGGGGCGGACAGTGTCTCCTGTGGGAGCCAGCTCGTGTGGCAGGGCTGAGCCCGGGGCTCCGTGAGACACTGCAATTGCGTTTAAGTCAGTAAGAAATTAAGATCATGGGGATTTTATAAAAAATTAAGTAGCAATTAATACTTTGTTTACATTTTTACTTTTAATGTTAGAGACAGTGAAAAATGTTGCTTGTATATATGTATTTTGAGGGAAAGAATGCGTACATTTTAAAGTTTCTGATGTGTTTACTTTTGCTTCACCACCTGTTCAATTTTCTTGCAGATTTTTGAAAGGATATTGTTTATATGGGCGATACGTCACCCTGCCAGTGGATATGTTCAGGGGATTAATGATCTTGTCACTCCTTTCTTTGTAGTCTTCATGTGCGAACACATAGGTAAGACCATATCATGATGTTTTTTTCCCTGCAGACATTAAACGTGAACTTTGGTGGCCTTGCCAAGTTACTATGCATCATTGCACCAATGTTGAGATGTGCCATTAAGTTAAATGTTGTAATGACAACTGAAAATAGAGTATAGTTTCCTCATTGACGCCAGCTTTAAAAGAATCTGTAAATCCACGTGTTTAACTACTGAAGAAGACATTAAGATGCAGTTTTTACTCTTACTGTCTTCTTTTTAACCATACACGAGGAGCATGGTTTTGTTCTGATGGCTGGCTTTCACAGGGTGGATTTGAATGGGTCGGGTCAAGGTGACAGAACGTTAGTTGAATGTTCTGCTGACAAGCTAAAACCTGAGCTTTGATTGCATTCTGCAGCACGTTGTCTCCTTTCTATCTTTGATGTTAGTAGCGGTTCATTTTATGGGAATGTTAATTACATGCAAAGTAATTGGTTTAACGGAGATTTAGGTTGGGCAGTGCGGTCTCTCTTTGAGTGCTGTGTATTTTTTTCTCCATTTATGGTATAGCAGTCAACTGTAATATAACTGTACCTGTTATGAACATATGTTAAGCCTTAGAAAAATTCTGAAAATATAAATGTGGGATCTACTTTAATTTATCTGTGGATAAAAAATAAATAACCAAAGGAGGGATTTGCCGTTTGTGTGCAGTATTTTTATTAAAAACCAATTTTAATTTGTCTTCACGTGAACCTTCCCAACTTGATATTTGTTTGTTTTTATGAGATTGTGTCTTTAGCCGCTTCAGCTTCTCATCATGGTTGTGATCCGAGGGAGGAGGTTTGGCTGGGACAGATTACTCTCTGAGGACGAGAACATGCTCGTTCAGTGCATTTTATTGCAACCTCTCACACTTTGTTTGCGTTGCTGATTTCATAGGAGGGCTTTCATTGCTAAGCAACTAATGAGGACCACCACGGCTCTGTCTCTAATCGGCTCTCATGGAGGGGAGAAGCCTGCTCCGAGAGCGCTTGCCTTTCTGCTTCTTCCTCCCGCCTTGACAGATAATGAAAATGTTCTTAATGATCCTAGCACAGTAGGGCCTGTCAGTAGACTTCGGGGTTGTTAATTGAAAGAAGAAGTTCAGCTGAGATGGGATTAGAGAATTGATATTCCATGTTAAATAGACCATTTAATTAATGTGGTAAGTAAGTTTGTCTCAACTACTTTACCACCAACTCATGCCGTAAGACCCAAGCCATCCTTAACTGGGTTTGCCTGAATCGTCAGCGAGACGGACTGTGGTGGTCATTGTCTAGAAGAGAGAAGAACCAGAGGAGCTAGGATTTGTGCTCTGTCCTGCCTTCCTGTGACACCCCCCTGCACACACGTGTGCACATGCACCAGGACGCGCACGTGCATCGAGTGGATGTACGGGGTGGTTTGGGGACATTTGTATGAAACGCACCATTTATTTCTGGCAGTTGGCTGTGTCTTTAAGTGGACATGTTTTACTTTTTGGTCCTGGCTTTCAGGTATGATTGGTGGGTGTGAGTTCTTTCACCTCTTGCCATCCGCACTTGGGAGTGTTCGTGTGTCGGTCCTGGTCCACCTCTCCTTACTTTAGAAAGCCTCAGGTCTGTTGAAGTGTCCTGGAGCCCAACCCGCCAGCCTCCTGTGCGGTAGTGTCATTCACGAAGACCTTCATGGGCGGGCGCTGGGGTGCTGGTCTTGGGCAGAGCACCAGCGTGTGGAGACCGCGTCAGTTCAAGTCAGCCTGTGTCGAGAGGGCATCTCCTGGTCCTCGGCAGGGTGGTAGGGACACAGGCGAGCAAAGCGAGTATGGTTCCTGCCCCGTTGAGCTTGTGGTTACAGCAGGAAGACAGGTTTTAAACCAGTAACGAAGAAGTTTAATGAAAACAGACATTCGTGTTATCTTGAGGTGCATGGGGTGCAGGAAAGCAAACCCAGGCCTAGGGCTCAGACGACTCTGTGGCGCTCCAGCTGTGCCTTGTGGGATGAGCAGGGGCGTTGTGTGGAGGGAGCGTGGGAGTGCAGTGGACGGGCTGGAAGACCTGCTGTGATGCTGGGCCTGGTGACGAGGGAGGGCGGTCCCCATAGGATGAGTCCCCGCGGCAGCTCTGGGACAAGTCTGCTGGGCGCGGGGAAGCCCGGGCGCTGTGCAGAAGCTCCCGGGCATGGGGCACGCATGCTGCCAGCCACTAGGCTGAAGGTGTTCTGGTTGGCTGGGTTTTTAAGCGGGTAAACCTTATATGCTTTGCTTATTGAAGATCTTGCAGATACAGTTTTTTCTTTCAGAGGGTGAAACCTGGTCATAGGATTGTGTGGTTTGGATCCCTGAGTGTCCTGCAGGACTTTGGGGTCTGCATTCTGTTCCCACATGACCGTTCAGACGCTCGTGGTGCCCAATGGCACAGGGGTCAGCCCGCGTGCGCCCTCCCTCCCAAAAGATGCCCATGACTCTGTCCTCAGGACACGCGTGTGTTGTTTTGGTTTTCCTTTCTTCTAAGCTGAACTCTGGGAAACAGTCCCCATTAATTGAGGGCAGAAGAATCCCCTCCTGGTGTGAGATCCCTCCAGGCGCCCTCAGGCTGCGGTGGGCAGAGCTGCCGGGCCTGATCAGGAGCCGGGCTTTGCCCGTGGAGGGTTTGTTGCACGTCCCCGGCTCCAGGCCTGCCGTGCTCCTGCTGGTTCACGAGCGAGGAGGGGAATCCGGCATCAGCTCCAACGACTGTGATGTCCCAGGCAGGGGCAGCCACTTCTGAGCAGCAGGGGTCCTGACTTTGCAGGTCCTGCCACATAGCGGCCTTTTAATGCCATGTTTTGTGACTTGAAAAAGACGGAGATGGGAAGTGAACAGTGGCTGATGTATCTGGGGTTGACAAACAGGGTCTGATTCGGAGGACTTTGGCTCATCAAGTAGATTGACTGCTTCCTTTGCAGAGGGTTGGTTCATCTTCATGGGGAGGCTGGCCAGGATGATGAGTGGTGGAAGCAACTTGCAGGGCATGAAGAAATGGTCAGAGAACACGGGGAAGCCGGGAACAAGGGGAGAACAGGAGTAGCCTGGAAGTGGAGCAGCATGGAGCTGGTCCAGTGGCCCTGACGGTCTCCCAGGGCTGTTAACACAGCGCTGGGATGGGTCAGAGTCGTGTGCCACTGGCTCAGGTCTCCTCGCGGAGCACCTCACACTGCTGGGGAAAGGCCGTTTGGTCCCACTTTCAAAGGTCACAGCGTCCCCCGATGCAGGTTTAGCACACGCACATCTATGCTCACAGGCACACGCGTGTGTGCACGCACAGCACATGCCAGCCACCACTTGCCTACGTAAACGTGGCACGGATCCTTGACTGCCCTCTGAATGGGCCCACAGTCTTGGGTGGGCTCTGGAGGCTGTCATCCTCAGGAGGGGTGGGGGAGGAGGTCAGGAGACTTCCTGTGATCTCAGAGGTGGGGTGGCAGTGTGCAGAGCCCGTCCAGGTGTGGAGGCTGGTAAGTACAGTCATTTAGGGTGCACTGAAGCCTGGGGAGTCCCCATGAGTGGAGTTCTATAACGGGAGTAGATGACATGCTCAGAAAATTCCGCCGTGGAAGAGTGCCCGATGCCGGGAAGGTTTGGGAATTTAAGGGGCTGAAGCCTTAGGGATAAGAAGCTTTAGGTGCATAGACGCTAGGTTTGCCGATGTGTGAATGTGCCCGTTCTCGATCCGAGCCACGCCTTGGTGCCTGATCATGCAGAGTGCATCCTTGACCCAGAGGCCAGGCAGAGTGTGCAGGACTGCCTAGCCAGCACACCTGGTAGATATGTCACCTTCCTCTCGAAACAGGTATGTGACAGGTGCTTGAATTTTACCTTTTGGAAGTTAGAGGAAGCAGCAACGTAGCTGCTACTTTGGACTTAGTTCAGGCCCCTGAGGAAGGCAGGTCTAGAACAAGGTTGAGAGAGGACCCGCGCTGTCCCAGCAAAAACAAGGACCGTGTGCATAGAGAGACATCGTGGGCTGATGGGAGCAGGCCCAGAGGCAGGTGAAGGCAGGGCCCAGCACTGGAGAGAAAGCCTGGCCGGCGAGGTGGTGAAGGGGTTGACGTAGAGGGGAAGGAGGCTGATGGGAGCGGAGGGTGAGGAGAAGGAGAAGTCTGGCATGTTCCTAGGGTCCAAGGTGGATGTGGTGCCATTGTCCTGGACAGGCAGCTGGTTTAGGAGGTGAGATGACCATTCTGGGTTCGGACTCGTTGATCTGGAGCTGGGGGAGAGGTTTGCACTGGGGGTTGCGATGAGAATTGTAGCCCTGGGGGTGGCAGCTGAGAGGCGTGGCTCTGAATGTGCTTATCCAGAGTCCTGCGGTCACCAATGTGTTAGGGGTCTACGGGGACCTGACGGTGGAGGTTTATGGCTCTCTCCTACGTTGGCGTCTGGATTTCAGCAGTCCAGGCCTGTGCTGCTGCTGGGGGTGAGTCATCGGGCCCCGTGGTAACGTTCAGCGCTGGAGCCTGGCCGCCGGGGTTCAGACCCAGGCTCTGCCCCTTACCAGCTGTGCATGGCCTTTGTGGACGTGGGAATCGGAGGGCATGGCACCATTGCCTTGGTTGCCGTGAGGCCCGCGGGAGTTACTGTGTGAAGAGCTTCGAGCCCGTGTGTGAGCGGCTGCTGGGTGCATCTTCTGCACGTTCAAGGTCCGTCCAGGTAGCAGGTGTTGGCACTTCAGTCCTTCTTGTGGTCAGATGACCTCTGGTTGCATGGATACAGCACGTTCTAGTCATCCACATATCTCCTGATGGACGTTTGGGTTCTGTCTACTTTTTGGTTATTATCAATGCTGCAGCAGTGACCCCGTGTGCGAGGCGTGGCACGCACGTGCTTTCATCTCTGGGTGTCTGTGGACCCAGCGGTCACATGGCAGCTGCCGTTGGACGTTCCCGCCGCAGCGTGGGAGGGTTCCTGTGGGCCCACATCTTGCCAACACTTGCTACTGCTTGGTATTTTTCAAATGAGGTGGAAGTTACAGGT